CAACCAACCTATGCTGTTACATTAGCTTCCCCCTAGAATCGGCTTCCGTAGGAACGTCGGTTTGATCAACCTATCTTTCAAAAACACCTTAGTTCTATTTCTCATCTCAAGGGAAATTTATCAACTCGCTCAATGTTTGACTTACATTCAGTGGCAACTAACGCTGTCCATGGATGTCTCTTCATTTACTAGCTTGTCATCTTATTTTGTAGCATGTGATTTCTTCTACAACTATCGCTGACGGTTTGCTGCGTGCTTTCATGAGAAAGAGTGTGAGACTGAGGAATAAGAATATCTGAGGAAGTGCCGCTAGCGGGCTACCCAACACCATGTTGGTGAGGTACGATTTTTCCATGCTCAGACCGGCTATCAGGTGTTTACTCACCTGCCTCTTGAGTCGCCCTCAAGTAAAAAGTAAAGAAGAATCTACTTCAAAGGTAATGGTGAAAACCAATCAAACCTAAAGAACTGCTCCACTGCCTGCATCAAAATAATAAGATACAAAATGGAAATGCATAAATATAATTGATAATTTTTCGGTTCCACGTAAGTGATTGGCCTCCAGAACGGATTGGTATTCTGGAAGAAAATAGACATAGTGTAGCCAACTTGTGTACGAAAAGGTATGAAAACAAATAAAATCCTTTTTTATAATGTATATATGTAAAAGTGTAAACTTGCTAGAAGTTGGACTCATTGTCAAACCCGTTCAAATGCGTGACCTTGGGACTGTGACAACCGCCTATTATAACCAGGTACGTAACCAAGGGTGCATAATTTTACTCCATAAAACGGAAGAGAATATACGGTTAAAGAGGGGAGAAAATTGTGTAGAGTATGAGGATCAAGTACAGTTGTGTCAAATACTCTTTTCTGGTTTGATTTAAATATGTATGATATACTGAGGCAATATTTCGCCAATTCATCAAAGTAACGAATTTGTCTGCACCTTAGAAGTGTTGAAGTCCTATTACTCATTAGTATTATGAATGATTATTCGGTAAAAGGAAAGATTGCAGTCACCCCCTCGAGGTCTGATGTGGCCTAATGGCTAGGCACGCGGTCTAGCATTCAGGAGGGCAGAGGTTCGAGTGCGTGTGGGTCATGCGTTTTTGTTCATGGAAACCCCCTTCAATACGATTTTTGTTGGCCATAAGTTGCTCAGATATGAGAGAAAGAGAACAGGAGGACTGATTGATATGTCAGAATGCCATATTGGAACAGTACAAGTTCTTTGTTTGGATTACTAATAATACTATAGAAAAAAAATATCTACAAGTTTTGTAATTTCCATTTTACGTTATACTTAAACCGAGAGAAAAAGTATATATATATATATATATATATATATATATATATATATATATATATATATATAAGTTACTGACATAACATGTCTTTTTTATAACGCTAGTGTTAAGTTCCAGGGTTTTGTCAGGACCACTAATAATAATTGGTTTAACGTTAACATAGCTATGATAGTCATATCGTTAGTTCAATGTTATGATTACTTAAGAGTTCCTTTATAAGTTGTGTTTAAAATTAGGTATGCGGAATCAATGCGGCTAACATAGTAACCTTACAGTAACGCACTGTACTATATCTCCACGATTATTGATTCTGAAATGTCAGAATTTTAAAAAAATCTGAATATTGCCAATAAAGATGGGTTATATGATCACACTAAAAAGCATGCTGCAGGAAAACTGGTTAAGTCATTACATAAGTTTCCTAAACATGAAAAAAATGATGTGAACTTTAATAAGTACTTGGCCATGGTTTAATCCAAAATGTTTTGTCTAGAAAACCACTTATTAATAGTAGTATTAATCGTATCAAGCTACTAAACATATCTTCGACCGAAAACTTTTAGAAGTAGTTCATATGGTATATATGTATAGCAAGTCTACGTGAAAAATGTATATAGATATATAAGAAGTACAGCCAACATAGTTAATTAACCAGAAAAAGAAATTATAAAACTCGCCTGGGTTGCTTTTTGATATCGTTGTATTTGCCAGTGTTAGTTGTATGAGTTTGATTAAAATCCTCAGCCATCGTTTCGGAATACCTAGCTTATGTGTCCAGTATTTAAAAAAAATATTGAACATAACACTTATATATTAAAGGTAAAAGGTCTGGGGAGTTGTAGGTGAGGCGGAATGAGGAAAAATAATTATTTTTAAGTAGATGCAAGGTCTGATTAGCTACGTGGTTAGATTTTATCCTGCAGCCGAAACTGTCAACATCCTTGACTGACTGATCGGATGTGCCCAGCGAACCGTTTTAGTCATTTGTAAAGATTTATCATTTTTACATTTTGATTCCGTAATGGATTTGTCAGTTAAACGATCTAACAACACGTATAGTGGTTCATGATCTAGATAAGCCGGCTTTAGCCTATCAATACTTACTGTGTCGACGTTTCCATGTTTTTCTATCACGAAATATTTAGATTTTCTTGAGACGACTTTGAAAGGACCTTCAAATGGAGGACTGAGAGGTGCTTTTATTTTGTCACATCTTATCCAGACGTGCGTGCAATTGCTTAGGTCTTTAGGTACATATATGGCGCGTGATTGTTCACGAGTATTAATTGGCTTAAGCTTGGACATATGGTTCCGTAGATGATCTACGTAATTTTCTAAATTAAGTTTTTGACTGTTAGTATTAGGGTTAATAAATTCACCTGGTAGTCTCAGAGTTGTTCCGAAAACCAGTTCCGCAGCTGAACATTGTGCGTCAGTTTTGACAGATGTTCGTATTCCCAACATAACTAATGGTAGGAATTCTGTCCACTGATTGGGGTTTGAGTGAGATATAAGGGCAGTTTTTAGCTGACGGTGAAAACGTTCTACCATTAGTTATGTTGGGAATACGAACATCTGTCAAAACTGACGCAAATAACAAAAATGAGGTTAATTTGTGTTCAAAAAGGGCTCACCAGTTTCGTGCCACTACGTATGGCAAAATGTACGACCACCTTAACGTGGGTTTACGCAAACCCATTCACAAGATTTTCGTTGTTGCAGATGTTTCTATGCCAATCATTGGTATGGACCTTCTACAACACTGTAATCTGATCACCGACACGCGCAAACGGAAGCTAGTAGACGGAAACACTAAATTATCCGTTTGCATAACTTCTTTTACTGGTTGTAGATTATCCCCAGTCACAGTTAGGCATATGATAGACCCACTTTATCAACCACTACTCGATAAGTAACCTGGGTACAGCAAACTCAACCGAAACTACCGTATGTAACCAGCAATGTTACACATCACATCACGACTACAGGACCACCGGTATTCTCTTAAGCACGACGACTAGCTTCTGAAAAGCTAAGGTTAGCGAAAAACGAATTTGATCACATGATAAACCTGGGAATCAAACGACCGTCAAGTAGGCCATATGCATCTCCGTTGCACATGGTCCATAAAAAGGACAGCGACGATTGGCGTCCAACTAGTGACTATCGGCGATTCAACGCGAAAACCATTCCCGATCGTTACCCGTTGCCTCACATTCACGATTTGACAGCTACCTTGAAAGGTACAACTGTCTTTTCGAAAATCGAATTGGTTAAAGCGTATAACCAAATCCCTATGGCTACTGACGACATACCGAAAACAGCCATCATAACTCCCCTCGGACTCTATGAATTTTTGCGAATGCCTTTCGGTCTAAGGAACGCTGCTCAAACATTCCAAAGATTCATAGACGACGTTTTTCGAGGTCTCAACTTCGTACATGCGTATGTTCACGACTGTCTAATCGCAAGTCCGGACAGAGAAACACATCTCAAGCATCTGGATCTCGTTTTCGAACGACTACAAAAACATGGCATAACTGTAAACGTTCAGAAATGCCAATTCGGAACCAACTCGTTAGATTTCCTAGGACACACTATCGATGCTCAAGGCATTCGATCTCTTAGGATCAAAGTGGCGGCCATTCTGGATTACCCAGAACCGACCAACGTCAAGCAATTACGCACGTTTAACGGCCTGTTAAGTTTCTATAGACGCTTCATACCGAAACGCGCATTACTTATGAAACCGCTAACCGACCAACTTCGTGGAAATGCAAAATCCCTTAATTTGGACGACAACGCAGGAAAAGCATTCTCCACAGTTAAGGAACTGATCGCTAAAGCAACAATGCTCGCATATCAGGACACCGAAGCACCCATTAGTATCGCAGTAGACGCATCCGACTCGGCAATCGGAGGAGTCTTACAACAGTGGGTTAACAACTCCTGGCAATCATTGGCATTATTCTCTAGACGGTTGCTAGACACCGAATCGAGGTGCAGCACATTCGGTAGGGAACTCCTAGCTATGTATTGTGTTGTCAACATTTCCAACACTATATCGAAGGCCGTGAATTCACTCTTTTGACGGACCACAATTTCTCAATTTCTCGTTAAGCTCTCCTTCTGACAAGTACTCTCCCCGTGAGTCCCGACAACTGGACTACATTTCGCAGTTTACTTCAGACATCCAACACATTTCTGGAGCAAACAATGTAGTTGCAGACGCCTTGCCTCGAATAACTGTAGTGGCATTGGACCATATCCACACTATCCTCAAAGCTGAATACGAGATTACTCGGAAAATAGGTATTCAATATTTAACGCGAAGAAAGCGTCAAGCAGCACTCGATCTGTCGACACGCAAATCAACGTGAAGGAAACTAAGGTTAGTCCGGTGATAGATGACTCACGCCTGTCAAAGAAGGAAAAGCAGTCTCCAAAGAGGCCTGCCTTAAACAAAAGCTCAAGAAAAGTAGGATCTTCTGTTCCCCGTCTCCCAGATGGGATCCAACAGGAAAAACCTAGAAGCGCAATTGCAAGGCTCGATCGGTTTCAAACGGTTAACGTAACACGACCCCTCAGGTCGTCGACAAGCCCCCAAAACCCAACACTGAGTTTGACGCAACTGTTATTGCTTCTACCAGCACCGTTGACGAATGGGTAAAGGTTGTGAGGAAGAAAAGTATGGATATAAAAAGGAAACCTGCTCCCGTAAAAGTGGTTGAAAAATCGAAAGCTAATCATGGCGACAGATCAGCTATTTTTCATAGAATCAAGGAGAGCGATAGCTCTGAACCTATAGCTCGTTTTGAGCATGACATTGTACTGATCAGGCAGCTGCTTAATCAACTCATGCCTCAAAATATGACTGGGGTCACCTTGCTAAAGGTGTACAGACTAGGGAGTCTAACGGACTCGAAACCAAATCATTCCAGACAGCTTAAAGTAGTATTCAGCTCTTCGAACGAACGTGACCTAATTTTACAAAATGGACACAAATTAAAGGGTTCAGGAGTCTTTATCTGAAAGGACCTACCGTTGGCAGGCCGTGTTAAAAGACGGGAAGCCGAGAAAGAACTACAACATAGGTTAGACGCTGGCGAAAAGGACCTGAAAATTGTAAATTTTCGGGTTGTACGATTTCGACAGAGAATGATGCCGAAGCCACTCTGGGTGAAACACGAAGGCACTTAAACAGGCTTCGGATCTGTTACACCAATGCACGAAGCTTACTTAATAAGCGATCGGAACTAGGTGTACAGATTGACTCTACAAAGCCAGACATAATCTCAGTAACAGAAACCTGGCTGACACAGGCTATAGATAGTATAGAACTTGATTTCGAGGGCTTTACGTTAGTAAGGGCCGACAGAACACAAAAGCGCAAAGGAGGGGGAGTAGCTCTATTCATTAGGAATGCTATCCCATTTACCATTATCAATAGTGTATCTCATGAGAGTGGAACGTGTGAATTAGTTAGTCTTCGCCTAAAATACAAGGGACAAGAGCTGCTGATTGGTTTGGTCTATCGCAGTCCAAGCTGTGAGGCAAATGAGATCCTGTTAAGCAGTCTCAATACTTGGTCCCAAAGTAGTCGATGTCTAATCCTAGGGGACTTTAACGCACCTATGGTAGACTGGGAAAATCTGCGAATTAAATCGTCGGAGAATTCTTTCGAGCAGGAACTAGTTGATGGGATTATCACATGTGCTCTAGTACAACATGTGAAAGAAGCGACAAGGTACGATCCGGACACTGAATCATCTTTATTAGATCTTATACTGACTCACTATGAGGATGATGCTGCGAACCTCCAACATATGCCACCCTTAGGTAAAAGTGACCACGCAGTTTTAACTTTCGACTTCCATATAACTGTCAGTCATGAGGACGCGTCAGTCCAGTCCAGACCCAACGTCTGGAAAGCAAACATACCAGCGATCATGCACTCAGCATCGTTAATAGATTGGACAATAGACCCAGAGTCCTCCATTGAAACGGCCTGGGACGCATTTCGAAATTCATACTTAAAAGTTACCACACCTCATATCCCTTGGACTATACCAAAGGGACCGAAAAACTATCCACCATGGTTCAGTAGGGAGGTCCGTATTCTTCTCCGTAAGAAAAGGAAAATGTGGGATAAATTTAGGTTACTGGGGACTGATGAGGCAAAGTCTCAGTATCGAATGGCTCGGAACACTTGTGCCTCGACCCTCCGTAAGTCTAGAAAATTGTACGAAGAAAAACTTGTAAAGGAATCCATAGAATGTTCTAAACGCTTGTATTCCTATATAAACCTAAGGACAAGGAGAAAAGGAAATATTCCTGCTCTATGGGGAGACAGTACTGCTTCATCATTAGTGGAGGACGACTTTGGTAAGGCTCAAGCGTTCTCGAACTACTTTAGCAACGTGCATACCATAGAAGCGCCCTTCTCGTCAGCGTATACATATCCCCCCATACATACACTGGATAGCGTGACCATTAAAGAACTCGATGTCTTTGGTCTGCTAAATAAGCTTGATATAGGTAAATCCACGGGGCCCGATGAACTACATCCTAGGCTACTAAAGGAATTATCTAACTTCGTCGCAAGCCCTCTAAGTACATGCTTTAACCTATCCGTTACGCAGGGCCGTTTACCAAAAGACTGGAAAAATGCCATAGTAAGTCCTGTCTTCAAAACAGGTACGAAACACAAACCTGAAAACTACCGCCCAGTTAGCCTAACTAGTGTGGTTGTTAAAATATTAGAAAAGATTATTAGGGAGGAGCTGTTTAAGTATATCGATAAGAACCGGATCCTCTCGGAGAAGCAGCACGGCTTCAGAATAGGTTATTCTTGTTTCACTAACTTATTAGTGGCTCGTGAAAGCTGGTTCGCTCTTGACAACCAAATGCTACCTGTAGACGTAGCCTACGTTAACTTCAGCAAAGCTTTTGATAAAGTTACGCACAACCGGCTGTTATATAAGTTAAGAAAAGTCGGGATCGGAGGCAATTTATTGATGTGGATAAAAGACTTCTTAGTTGGGCGTCAACAAAGAGTTCGGGTGAACTCAAAGTTATCTAGCTGGGAAACTGTGCTTAGTGGAGTGCCCCAGGGTACAGTTTTGGGGCCAGTGCTATTCCTCTTGTATGTAAATGACCTTCCTTGTCTCCTATCATCATCGGTCTTGCTATATGCTGACGATGTCAAGATATGGAAAGCGATACGATGTAAGAGTGATAGCTTAGAACTTCAAAATGACCTGAAGAAGTTATCTGAATGGTCTCAAACATGGCAGTTGCCGATAAATACTTTCAAGTGTGTTGTGATGCATATCGGTCATCAAGGCACAGATACATACAAGATGGATAACACTGAGCTACCTATCGTCCAGACATATAATGACTTAGGCGTTATCGTTAGTCAAGACATAAAGACTACTGCACACTGCCTTGCAATAGTTGCCAAAAGTTCTAGATCGTTATGGTCAATACGTAGGGCTTTTAGTCATGTCGACGCTAAGACGTTTTTGACTTTGTATACAGTGTTCCTTCGTCCTAAACTTGAGTACTGCATACAAACGGCTAGCCCCTGCTTAAAAAAAGACAGTGAGCTTCTGGAAAAGGTTCAGAGAACGGCGACTAAGCTGGTTCCCGGAATAGCAAAGCTTCCGTATGAATCTCGACTGGCCAAGCTGAACCTTTTCCCGTTATCATATCGCAGAACTAGAGGCGACTTGATTACAGTCTACAAATTGCTTAGTGATAAATTTGCACCTAACATGCCCTCATTTTTCTTGTCTTCCAAAACAGAGAATTTACGAGGACACTCCAAAAAAGTTCACAAGCCTAGAACAAATTACTTGTCAGCTGACTATCGACTTTCCCATCGAATAATCAACGAGTGGAATTCACTACCTCAGCACGTGGTTGAGGCTCCATCCGTCGACTCTTTCAAAAGAAAGTTGGATCAACTGAGAGAACACCATTGCCAGGACTAACATAGTCCATCGAGCCTCCTGTCCTTCCCAAACTGAAACTGAAACTGAAATTGAAATACCTAACGATGGAGAAGGCGCGAATAATGAACTGAATGAATTAGGGTTGATCGAACGGCATGGCTCGGCCTCTGCTGAATGTTACCTTATATCTTCTATTCATATTAAATATATTGTTCTTTCTCTAGCCTAACCTTGTTCTACATCATGTATTAGTAATTGATACGATACAGTGAGTTGGTGTAGTCGACGGTGTGACTTCCACGTAAGATCTTATGGATTAGGCAGTTATATCATGACAAATCTACAAATTTAGGATTAAGTCTATTATTAAAGCAGTACTAATATCATAGTAGACCATAAATTCTACATTGGTAAGCCCGACTAATGAAACGCAACCAATTATTGTAAATCCTTATTTCCACCTTAACTTTCTCGATCGATTTTATATTCATGTTAACCCAGTATTCCAATAGTCCCCTGAATAATACTCACATGCATTATCGTAATGTTATATTGATTAGTTCTCATAACATACTAGCTCAAACGATAATAAAAACTGGTCGTTTATATCAACTAATTAGCTTTGATGGTTCGTTAACAAGCTTTAATAGCATTTACCTGCTTCAGCGACATAGACTTGTTTAAACATCAAGCTCTAGCAAATATGATCTGTAAGTAGCGTAAATATACATTGACTAACAATGCAATTAAGGATTGAATAGTTATCTGGATCTAATTCTTGGTGTTCATTCGCTTAACACATCCTGTTTTAAACTATGCACTATCCTGTAAAATCTTTTCTTCCGACCACTGCCTGCCTAATTTCATATTCTCGAGTTCCATTGCCAAACAACAAGGATGACATTTTTCCTAAAACATACGGTGAGTTTCAGCGATAAGTTTCCTGCAATCATAAGGTCATTTTAAATGGCTCGTTCAATGGCTGACACAGTTATCTGTGTATGTATATGTATCCTAGCTGCTTTTGCCATATATTTGTAAGTGTCCCTAGGCTAAATGCAGTAACTTCTTATGGAATGTTTATAACGCGTCACATTCCTGCCCAAAGATTCACAAGCAGTCTTAACTTTAAAATTGTTTTTCTGGTCATGTTCATTATTTTTAAATTTTCATATACGTCAACAACCTGCATGTTTACCTGGCCCGTATGTACGTTTTACTATATCTTCATGTCTTTTGAATTCAGAAATCATCTGAATCGCCTTTGACGTTTATCAATAAACCCATCATAGCCATTGTTGCTAATCGTATTTGGGTTTATGGATTGATTTATCATATTAGCAGCCTAAAATACGAACATAGTTTAGATGATAAGATTTATTTATTTATTTCAACACATAGATAATGGTACAAAGAGGCACCAAATACATATGCGCCACACAAATCTCATTCGATATGTGTGTGAGGCTGTGATACAGCCCGGGTGCCCAAACCGAAGTAGGTGGTTTTCTTAGGGGGCCACACCTCGAGCCTTCGACCTGAAGGTCTGATCCACAAGGCAGTGGAGCATCGTAAGGAGATGCGGTCTCATGGAAGCCGGTGACCAACAATTGATTCATTCGCCATTTGTTCCCGCAGGATACTGGAGCCCATGTGCACCATTGGTTTGGAATCCGGTTAAAGCGCCGGACGTTCGCTTTTCGTCCTCTCATTTTCGTAAACAACACCCCCGCCACGAGAAGGCAGTGAGTAGGACTTCCCTGGCAGAGGCTATATACGCGTGGCCGTGTGAGAGTATTTCGAGAGGGAGAGCGGACTCTCCCCACTCTCGGCCGTACCAGGGCATTCGGGGGCAGATGATAAGATTAAAAAGTTAGGTACTATCAACTGCACTAGTAAAATTACTAAATCCTCAGGTAGTTGTTGGTTGAATAAACTTTTAAAATCAAAACTCCGTAGCCTACTAGAATTAACACTAAACAAATATTTCTAAATTGAAATTTATAATTAAATTAGGCGTCTCGGATTCTTTAGCGTTATAAATTTCTGATAATTTTGAATCACCTAAAGCAA